GCTTGTATCACACTGTCTTGATTACTGTGGTTTTGTAGTAAGTTTTGAACTCGAGAAGTGTGAGCCTTTCAACTTTGTTCTTTTAAGAGATTATTTTAACTATTCTGGGTTCCTTGCAATTACAAATGAATTTCAAGTTTGACTTTTCAAATTATGCAATGAAGCCAGCTAGGATTTTCATAAGGATTACATTGAATCTGTAGATGAATTTTGGGAGTACTGTCATTTAAACAATATTGTCTTCCCATCCATAAACATGGATGTCTTTATACTTTTGATTTTTAAAATTTTCTTTCAACAATATTTTGTAGTTTTCTGTGTACTTGCACTTCTTTTGTTCAATGTGTTCCTGAGTATTTTATTAAGTTGATGCCATTGTAAAGGGAAATGTTTTCTTAATTTTTTTAGATTGTTCATTGCTAATGTATAGAAATACAAGGGCTTTTATATATCAACCTTATATCATGTAACCCTTCTGAACTCATTTAGGCAAGCAGTATGAGAAGAGCAAGAATATGTCTAGGATTCAGAAGGAATGATTGAGTAAATCAGGACTAGGATAATGTGTAGTTACCATGTATTGAGCATGTTTGTGATAGATTACTGCTTCTCAACCTTTAATATGCATATCAACATCCTGGGAATCTAATTAAAATGCAGACTTTTGTCCGTGGGTTTGGGTGGAGCCTGGGGTTATGTCTTTCTAACAACTTCTCAGTAGGTAGCTGGTAGTTTTCATTTATTATTTTAAGCTACACAAACCCTGTAAAATATGTTATTGTTTCCATTTATAGATAAAAATAAAATCAGAAGTTGAGCAAATTACCAAGTTCATAGACCAAGTGGCAGAACCAGGATTTGAACATAGTTCATGCTAATGCCAAAGCTAGGCTTTCCACTCCCCCACACTGGATATCTGAAATAGGGTATCAGTTGGGATATTAACAATATATGGATCAGGAAAAAAATTAAGTTTTTCAGGGTCAGCAGAGTTGCCTAGAGTGCATTTGGGTCTAAAGCTTGAGATTATCTTGGTTATGTTGCTAAGAGTGAGGGTGTAAGACCGGAATATCAGGTAAAAGGAAGATGAAACTAGTAGATAGAACTCGAGATTAGAGGTGCTGTAGAAAGTTGTTCACTTCTGATCAGAACTGGAGATTTACATTTGTGGTTAAAACTATTGTTGACTCTTCCTGAATTCTAAATTATTTTACTGGGGGTAATTAATGATATAGTACCAATGCAATCCCTGAGGGGTCAGGTTAAGGATTTAGGAATGTGGATAAAGCTCTGGTCAAGTGGTTACCTATGAAGAACTATGGATAGGTGGCCAAATTTCTTTCACCTCAGTCAAAACACATGAGATAATTTTTTTTTTGTCCTTAGCACCTTTTATTGAAGTATAACCCTTGATGACAATCTGACAGGCATATCAATGTCAGCCAAGAAGGGAGTGGTGGAGGACACAAATGCAGAAACAATTAAGACTCAGAAAAATAATAGCTTCACATGGGATAGATGACCCCCAACAGTTGTACAACAAACACTGATTCTTTATCTATAGAAATTGCCCCCTGCCCACCCCCCTCTAAAGATCTACTAATCTTCAAAGAATATAATATGCTGTTACAGAAATATTATTGGCATAGATAACTCCTTTGGCAAACACAGAGGGAGTCACCAAGCTGCAGACCAGAGGAAGTGGCCAGAAATGTTCCTGACTTCCTCCATCTGAAACTTGCTACTGGCAGAGCAGCACCTTTAGGGAGGCTGGCATTATGACTCTAGTGCCCCTTGGACAACTTTTTGGCACATGAGGTTAAATGGAAAACAGAACCTGAACCTGGTCTTGAAAGAGGCTTTTCATCTTTTCACCCTCTTTGTACCTCTGCTTCCAGTTTTTCCCTTGCGAGGACTTTGTTTTCAGTGTCTCTGCCTGTTTCTGTTGGATTCCCATTGAGCATTTACTGCTATACCCTGGCCAAGTCCGCAGCCAGTAGGATTCAAGGAGACTTGATTATCCAAGGCTCTGGGAGTGGGGAGTTAGAAGGGATGTGTCATAGTAGCTCTTGCACTGATTCCTCTCTATGTATCAACCACTGTACTTACCTATTACTCACTGGGGCCTCTATGAGTATTTGAAGGGAGAGGGCAGACGTCAAGACCAATAATGCTTTGTGGAAATCCCTTGACCTGCCTTCCAAACTTCTACCTTCTGGCAGGCCTTTGTGGAGAGCAGAGCCCAGGACATGAGAACAGAGGAGAGACTCAGCATTTGAAGTAATAGGGACAGCTTTATAGCGCTATCACTCACACTTGGACTGCCAAGCCAGCAGTGCTGGGCATTAATTATATTGAGCAATATAATTTTGGGTTTATTTTATTAAGATCTTTGGAAACTGTCCCTCTGTGTACAAGTGAGCATCCTTTTGTTCTGATTCCAACTCTAAAATAATTTGAGGTGGGATGAGGGACAAAAATATGAGTAGATAGTACTTTTAGTGTGATAAAGTTAAGGTACAACCAATCTACCGCTGACTAGAAAAAACTAAGACTATGGCCATAGTGTCCAGGTGAGAGATCACTCTTTTCTATGGGCCTATATTTGCAAAAATCTATTCCTCTCTCTCTCT